CCAGTCGCTACTCGCCAAAGTAGGAGGTGGAACAATGTTTTGTATAGTATGTTATGCCAATTGAGCTTGATGTCCCCTGCGACTTGGTCCCAAGCCTGCAGGATCAACTACTCGGTCCCTCTGGATAGCTGGCTGTGACCAAGCAATGACCATAACCTTGACCCTTGTCAGCTCTACTATACACTATCTGCCTATCTTTTATACTGTAATTTATATTTCTTCAGCTGATAGAAAAGGATAACCTTCTACCTAATATTTTCTATCTTTTCTATTAGTTAGTTTTGTTATTAACTCACTTACCTGGAATTTAAATTGCCATGTGGTATAAAAAATAGTTGTAAGAAAACTTTTCTCCATATTGCTATCTGACTATGCCAAATCTTAAGTACTATTTTCTGTCACTTACTGATGGGTTTGTCTAGCCTTGGTTATCAGTTGTTTTTATTAATTGATAAATTATATGATGCTGTAATCCATTTCTCAGATGATCTGTTCTATTTTCATTGATTTATTTTTGTATGGTCATTCTATAATGGTTTAGTTACTGTTATCTGATCATATGTTCTGGTATCTGATGGCTGAATAGCCATAATCTCTTGCTAAATATTTCAAGTTTACTTTGGAGAACACACATAATGAATATGAAATATATTGATCAATGTCTAATTTTTTTCTTTCTCTTTTTTTTATCTAGCTTCATTGGATACTACTACCTGGGAATATCCAGATGTCTGCAGATATTACTTTGGCTCCTTTGGGCAGTGGTCAAGTCTTCTTTTCTCCTTGGTGTCTCTTATCGGAGCAATGATAGTTTATTGGGTGCTTATGTCTAATTTTCTTTTTAATACTGGAGAGTTTATTTTTAGTAAGTATCCATATCATACATTAACACAGTTACTTTCAAATACAATTACTACTTTGATGTTTTAGTTCCAGTCTTAAATTGCAGTCTTGGATAAATGAAATAAAAATAATTTTTATAATTCTGGAAAATAGATTTGGTTCCATTTGTGTCCTATGGTTATGATCTCAAAATGTGTATGTTCACTTACAAAAACTAATTTTTGAGTAAATAACATTTTTTTTTTTCAAAATCTCTAGTTAACATAAAGTATTTCTAAGCCTCAGAAGATGTTTTAAGCACTATTTCACTCTTTACCACAAAATTTCAGTGTAACAAAAAAGCTTATAAGGTTTGTTGGTGTTGTTGCTAAAGAGTCTTGAAGTAGACTCTAGGGGAAAAATTGTAGTCCCTGTTTTCAGAAACATTAGTATCTAAAATTAGGAAACAATAGAATAATGGAAATTTTGTGGTAAATAAATGATTTATATAGCACAGAACTGTAGTCTGTTCAGGTAGACTCAGACCAAATGCATTTTATAATTTTTAGTTGGATAGAGAAAATTCATTTTTTTCAAATAACATCCTAAGGATTTTTTTCCTGATGTCTGTTAGTAATAAACTTTAGCATATTTATAGCTTCTTTAAACAAACTCTACATATTTAAAATCTAGATTTACATGAAAGCCAAATTTCAAAATAACTTCTGAAATGCTCACAATAACTAACTTCACTAAAAGATTTTTTTGGAAAGGCAGAGATAATGTCTATTTTTATTTTAAACAATAAAACTAGCACTTTAATTAGATATTTTACTATGAAGCATTTTTATTGTATAAAATTATGAAATACTTCACACTATGAAAAGAATACAAAAACTAATGTAAAGTCCTAGTGTACCCATGGCTCAGGGCTTCTGGGGTGGGTTTATTTAAGACCAGGCCCTAGATAGGTAAGTGGGCACATGGCTTGGGGCTTCTGGGCCAGCTTTATTTAAAGCCGGGCCCCAGAGAGGTAGAGGGGTGCGCGGCTTGGGGCTTCTGAGGTGGCTTTATTTAAGGCCAGGCCCAGGATGGGTAGGTGGACACGTGGCTTAGGGCTTCTGGGATAGCTTTATTTAAGGCTGGGCCCCTATAGGTGTGGAAGTGAGCAGACTGGTTAGGAACAACTAAGGGAGACAAACTTGTCTGTCAGTTTGTTGTCTTGTGGTGGAGTTGTGTGTGGCTGTGAAGCTGGAGGCTATGCCACCAGTATTGCAAGATGCCAACGGGGTTACCCATGATGGACAGGTTTCAGTGGCGGTTCAAGACTAAGACTCAGAAGAAGGAAGAGGCCGTCCACTTCTCAAACACTTGGCCAGTGAAAACCTTACAAATAGCAGTGAAACACTGTCTGATATATTACTGAAAAACTTTATGAATAGCCCTGAAACATAGTCCAATACAGTGGCAAAAGATGAGCCCATCAGGTCAGAAGACTCTCAAAATATGACTGGGGAAGAGCTGATTCCTCAGAGTAGAAAGGACCTTAATGATATGGATGGATTAAACTTTCAGGACCTCCACTGGCTGATGTGGCACAACTCAAAATGAAAACAAACAGCTAAACACATCCATTAATAATCAGAACATGGAATGTACGAAGTATGAATCTAGGAAAACTGAAAGTTGTGAGAAATGAAATACAGCCATAAAGATCAATATCTTAGGAATTAGTGAGCTGAAATGGACTTGTTTTGGCCATTTTGAATCAGATAACCATATGATCTGCTATGCCGAGAGTGAAAAATCGAGGAGGAATGTCATGGCATTCATCATCATAAAGACTGTTTCAAGATCTGTCCTGAAGTACAATGATGTCAGTGATAGTATAATATCCATACACCTACAAGGAAGACTAGTTAATACAACTATTATTCAAATTTAGGCACCAACCACCAAAGCCAAAGATGAGAAAATTGAAGATTTCTACCAACTTCTGCAGTCTGAAATTGACCGAACATGCAATCAGGATGTGTTGATTATCACTGGTGACTGGAATGCAAAAGTTGGAAACAAAGAAGAGTCACTGGTAGCTGGAAAATATGGCCTTGGTAATAGAAATTACTCTGGAGATACCTTTTTTTTCAACAACATAAATGATGGCTATATACATGGATTTCACCAGATGGAATACACAGGAATCAGATTGACTACATCTGTGGAAAGAGACAATGGAGAAGAAGTTCAGTATCTTCAGCCAAAACAAGACTAGGAGCTGATTGTGGAACAGATCATCATCTGCTCATATGCAAGTTCAAGTTGAATTTGAAGATAAATTAAGTCCACAAGAGCCAAAATATGTCCTTGAATATATCCTTCCTGAATTCAGAGACCATCTAAAGAATAGATTTGATGCATTGAACACCAATGACCAAAAACCAGAAGAATTGTGGGATGACATCAAGAACATCATCCTTGAAGAAAACAAGAGGTCATTAAAAAGACAAGAAAGGAAGAAAAAAACAAAATGGATGTCAGAAGAGACTCTGAAACTTGCCCTTAAATGGAGAGTAGCTAAAGCAAATGGAAGAAATGACAAGATAAAGGAGCTGAACAGAAGATTTCAAAGAGCAGCTCCAGAAAACAAAGTCAATTATTATAATGAATGTGCAAAGAACTAGAGTTAGAAAACCAGAAGGGAAGGACACGCTCAGCATTTCTCAAGCTGAAAGAACTGAAGAAAAATTTTAAGCCTCAAGTTGCAATATTGAAGGATTCTATGGGCAAAATATTGAATGATGCAGGAAACATCAAAAGATGAAAGGAATACACAAAGTCACTGTACTAAAAAGAATTTGTCGATGTTCATCCATTTCAGGAGGTAGCATATGGTCAAGAACCAATGGTAATGAAGGAAGAAGTTGAGGCTGCACTGAAAGAATTGGTGAAGAACAAGGCTCCAGGAATTGATGGAACACCCACTGAGATGTTTCAACAAATGGATGCCCTGCTGGAGGCACTCACTGACACCAAGAGATTTGGAAGACAGCTACCTAGTCAACTGGCTGGAAGAGATCTGTATTTGTAGCCATTCCAAAGAAAGGTGATCCCACAGAATGTGGAAATTAGCCAACAATATCATTAATATTGCATGTAAGTAAAATCTTACTGAAGATAATTAAAAAATGGTTGCAGCAGTACATTGACAGAATTTCCAGAAATGCAAGCTGGATTCAGAAGAGGACATGGAACGAGGAATAGCATTGCTGATGTCAAATGGATCTTGGCTGGAACCAAAGAATACCAGAAAGATGTTTACTTGTGTTTTATTGACCATGTAAAAGCATTTGATTGTATGGATCATAACAAATTATGGATAGCATTGAGAATGGGAATTCCAGAAAATTTTATTGTGCTCATGAGGAACCTGTACATAGACCAGGAGGCTATCATTCAAAGAAGGGGATACTGCATGGTTTAAAGTCAGGAAAGGAGTGCACCAGGCTTGTATCCTTTCACCATAGTTATTCAATGTGTATGCTGAGCAAATAGTTCAAGAAGCTGGACTATATGAAGAAGAATGTGGCATCAGGATTGGAGGAAGACTCATTAATAACCTGTGATATGCAGATGACACAACTTTGCTTGCTGAAAATGAGGATGACTTAAAGCATTTACTGATGAAGATTATAAAGACTATAGTCTTCAGTATGGATTACACCTCAATAAAAAGAAAAATGCTCACAACTGGACCATAAACAGCATCATGATGGATGGAGAAAAGATTGAAGTCGTCAAGGACTTCATATTACTTGGTTCTATAATCAACACCAATGGAAGCAGCAGTCAGGACATCAGATGATTTATTGCATTGGGCAAATCTGCTGCAAAAGACCCCTTTCAATTTTCAGTTGCCTCTTTTGTATGTGAGAGCTGGACAATGAATAAGGAAAACCAAAGAAGAGTTGATGCTTTTGAGTTGTGGTGTTGGAGAAATATGCTAAGAATACGATGGACTACTAAAAGGGCTAACAGATCTGTCCTGAAAGAAGTGTGGCCAGAATGCTCCTTGGAAACAAGGATGGCCAGACTTCATCTCACCTACTTCGGTCATGTTGTCAGGAGAAACCATTCCCTGGAGGATATCATGCTTGGTAAAGTAGGGGGTCAACGAAGAAGGGGAGGGCATCAATAAGATGGACTGACACAGTGGCTGCAACGATGGGCTTAGCTATAGCAAGGATCGTGAGGCTGACAGAGGACTGGGCATTGTTTTGTTCTGCTGTTCATAGGGTCACTGTGAATCAGAGAGAACTCGAAGGCACCTAACAACAAAAACAGTGTGCCTACTAGTGAGCTTTAATAAGGGTTACTGTTTTGTCATATGTAAATAAAATGTTACACATAGAGTTGAAGTCTATGAGTACTCCACCTTAATTTCATTTTCTGTCTTCCCTAAATTTGGTATTAGTCATTCCCATGCATGATTTTGTACTTTTACTTCTTAAGTATATAACCAATGTATAGTATTATTTTGCATGTCTTTAATCTGTATAAGGGACTCTGGTCATGCAGTACTTAAGACATTTGGCTGATAACCAAAAGGTCAATGGTTCAAACCTACCACCTACTCCTCAGTAGTCTCTGAGGCAGTCTTGGAAACCCACTGGGAGTTGTTATGAGTTGGAATCAACTTGATGGCAATGAGTTTGGTTTGATTTGGTTTGGTTTTTTAATCTATATAAATAGATTTTGTAACTTGCTTTTTTCTCAGTCACCATTTTTTTTAATACATGTACTCTCCAGTTCATATTATGTGCTTTATTTATAGTATTCCATGATATGAACATAGTGTAACTTCTTTACCCCTTCCCTTGTTGATGGACATTTAATTTGTTTTCAGTTATTTTGCTATTACAAAGTTTCAGTAAACATCCTTGTTTCTGTCTTCTTTTCTTGTGTACAAATGAGAAAGTTTCTCCAGGATTTGTATCTATGAGATAATTACTGGAATTAAGGATATTCATATTTTCAACTTTACTAGAAATTTCCAAATTGTTCTCTAGCATGCTTGTACAGTTAGTTTCATTTCTATGAACAATTTATGAAAGTTTCCCTTGTTCCACATCCTCTCTTACACTTGGTATTATCAAATGTTTTTCATTTTGTAATTCAGGATGTGGTTTTAATTTTCATTTCCTCTCATAAGACATTTTTTCTTAATTAGATTGGCCATTCAATTGCTTGTTTATATCCTTTACCCATTTTTTATTGAATTGTTGACATTTTTCATGTTTATTTTTAGGAGAGGTTTGTAAAGTTTGAATACTAGTCTTTTGTTCCTTACTGTGTTGCATATATCTTGTAGCTGGTGGAGTGTCTCCATTTGCATATGGTGGCTCTATTGTTAAGGAGTTTTTTAAATTCTACTTTCAAATTGATCAGCCTCTTCCATTATGATCTTTTACTCTTCCAAATACATTTTAGAACGAACTTGTCATGTTTCACAAAAAATCCCAAGGAGAATTTAATTAAAATTGCAGGAGAGATTTAAAGAATTTGCTGCTAACCAAAAGGTTGGCAGTTCAAACCCAATAGCCGCTCTGTGGGTGAAAGATGAGACATTCTACTTCCATAAAGATTTACAGCTTTGGAAATCTTATGGGGCAGTCCTAGTCTGCCCCATAGGGTCCAATGAGTCAGAATAAACTCAGTGGCAGTGGGTTTGGTTTTTGGTTTTATCAATCAATGAGGAGATTTGATTGGAATTGCACTGAATGTATAGATATGGAGAAAATTAAGTCTTCCCATCCATGAGTTCTGGTGACATAGTGGATTGGGCTGCCAACCAAAGGGTCAGTGGTTCAAACCCAACAGCTGCTCCATAGGAGAAAGATGAGTCATTCTCCTTCCATAAAGATTTGCAGCCCCTGCAATCCTATGGGGGCAGTTCTGCTGTGTCCTATAGAGTTGCTATGAGTTGGAATTGATTTAATGACAGTGGGTTTCCTACCCATGAGCATGACTGGCATGCTCTTGGTGCTTTTTCCATTGTTGAAAACTAGATCTCAAAGCAATACTCATGTTCTATTCTATTATTTTTATAGTTTTAGTTCTTACATTTAGGTCTTTGATACATTTTGAGTTAATATTTGTATACAGTGTGAAGTTTAGGTCCATTTTCATGCTTGTGGAGATCCAGTTTTCTTAGTACCATTTACTGAAGAGAGTACTTCTGCCTTGGAATAGATTTAGCACCCTTGTTGAAGTTCATTTGGCCACAGATGAATTAATTTTTTTATAGATTCTCAATTCTATTCCATTGGTCTTTGTGCCTATTATTATACCATTACCACACTTTTAAAATTACTGTAGCCTTTGTGTGTTTTAAAATCAGGAAGGGTGAGTCCTCCTACTTAGTTCTTTTTTCAAGTCACATGTGTCATGTGTTTGTGTCCAAGTTTCCCTTTTTTTTTATAGGACACCAGTCATTGGATTTAGGGCCCACTCTAATCTAGTATGCCTTCAGTTTAAGTAGATTATGTACATAAAGATCATCTTTCCAAAGAAAGTCATGTTCTGGGGGCGGGGTCATGAATTTTTGAGACACACTTTTCAAACTGTTGTCAAGATATTATTAGCCTTGCATAAGTCTTTCACATCGAGGAGTTACATAAGGATTCATAACTTCCAATCTTAAATCACTAATATAACCCTATAAAACCTAAAACACTAAACTCTTTTATTCTGTCTTAAGAAGCATCCAGTAAAGATGAATATTTAATATTTTACTAACTTTATGACCTTATAACCTAACCTAGCATATGCTACCATCTCATTTAAACCTCACAATAAGACTACATTTTATTAATGTTTAATTAGATGATTATACAAAGTTAACATCAAACAGAATAAAGTTAACCCCTCAGACTAGAAAGAAAACACAGCTTAGTATCAGCATTCAGAACTTGGCCAGAGGCCAACTGTGACACAGACCTTGAATTGCTCATTCAGGTACAAGTTGAAACTGGAAAGAAAACAAGTTCACAAGTGCCAAAGTACAACCTTGGGTATATACCACCTGAATTTAGAAACCATCTTAAAACTAGATTTGATGCTTTTCATACTGTTAACCAGATACCAGATGAGCTGTGGGGTAGCATCAAGGATATTATACATTACAAAAGCAAAAGATCATAACAAAGACAGCAAAGAAAGAAAGAACTTAAATGGATGTCAGAAGAGACTCTGAAGCTTCATGTTGAATGAAGTATGGATTACTTATGAATGTAAGTGAGGATATGGAACAAATTTGCTAAAGCAAATAGAAGAAATGATAAAGTAAAAGAGCTGAATGGAAGATTTCAAAGGGCAACTTAAGAAGACAAAGTAAAGTATTGTAATGACATGTGCCAAGTTTGGGACATAGAAAAGCAAAAGGGAAGAACATGCTCAGCGTTTCTCAAGCTGAAGAAAAAATTCAACCCTCAAGTTGCAATATTGAAGGATCTTCTGGCAAAATATTGACTGATGCAGGAAGCGTCTAAAGAAAATGGAAGCAATACACAGAGTCACTGTACCTTTTTGGTTGACATTCAGCCATTTCAGGAGGTAGCATATAATCAAGGACTAATGGTACTGACGGAAGAAGTCCCAGCTGTACTGAAAGTATTGGCAAAAACCAAGACTCTAGGAATTGACAGAATACCAGTTGAAATGTTTCAACAAATGGATGCAAGGCTAGAAGCACTCATACATCTGTGCCAAGAAATATGGAGGACAGCTTCCTGGCTAACCAGCGGCAAAAGATGCCCATTCCAAAGAAAGGTGATCCAACACAATGCAGAATTTATTAATATCATATATAGTAAAGTTTTGCTGAAGATAATTCAAAAACAGTTGCAACAGTACATCTTGTTTGAAAGCAGAAAATATCAGGAAGGTTTACCTGGGTTTTATTGATTGTGCAGAGGCATTCAGCTATGTGTGTCATACCAAATTATGGATAACATTGCTAAGAATGGGGATTCCAGAACACTTAATTGTGCTCATGAGGAATGTACACATAGACCAAGAAACAGTCTTTCTAAAAGAACAGGGAACACTGGATGCTTTACAGTCAGGAAACGTGTGCATCAAGGTTATGTTTTTTCACCATAGTTATTCAATCTGTATGCTGAGCAAGTAATCTGAGAAGCTGAACTATATGAAGAAGAGTGTGGCATCATATTGTATGGAAAGTGAATTTGCTCTGTAAATTTTCACAAAATCACACACAAAAAAATGTGGCATCTTAATTGGAGAAAGACTCATTAACAACCTGTGATATGTAGATAACACAACCTTGCTTACTGAAAGGGAAGAGAACTTGAAGCATTTACTGATGAAGATGAAAGACTACAGCCTTCAGTATGGTTTATACCTGAACATAAACAAAATAGAAATCCTCACAACTGGACCAAAAAGCAACGTCAGGATAAGTGGAAAAAAATTTTGAAGTTGTCAAGGATTTCATTTCACTTGGATCCACAGTAAACTGCTCCTTGGAAGCAGCAGTGAAAAAATAAAATGATGTATTGCACTGGACAATTCTGTGCAAAAGACCTCTTTAAAATGTTAAAAAGCAAAGATATCACTTGAGAACTTAAGTGTGCCTTACCCAAGCCAAAGTATTTTCAGTCGCCTCTTATGCATGCAAAAGCTGGACAATGAATAAGAAAGACTGGAGAAGATTGATGCATTTCAATCATGGTGTTGGCATAGAATATTGAATATACCATGGAATGTCAGAAGAACAACCAAATCTGTCTTGGAAAAGAAGTACAGCCAGAATGTTCTTTAGAAGGGAGGATGTGGAGACTTCATCTCATATACTTTGGTTGTGTTATCAGGAGGGACCAGTCCCTGGAGAAGGACATCATGCTTGGAAACGTAGTTATGTTGTTAGGTGTCATTGAGTTGGTGTCGACTCATAGCAGCCCTACATAAAACAGAACAAAACACTGCCCAATCCTGTGTCATCCTCAAGATTGTTTCCATGTTTGAGCCCATCGTTGCAGCCACTGTGTCAATCCATCTCATTGAGGGTCTTCCCCTTTTTCACTGACCTTCTACTTTACCAGCATGATATCCTTCCCCAGGGACTGGTCCCTTCTGACCACATGAACAGAGTATGAGAGTTGAAGTCTGGCCATTCTAGTTTCCAAGGAGCATTCTGGATGTACTTTCTCCAAGACAGATTTGTTCAGTCTTCTGGAAAGGTAGAGAGTCAACAAAAATAGGAAACCCTAAGGAGATAGACTGACAAAGTAGCTGCAACAATGGACTTTAGCATAGCAACGGTTGTGAAGAGACACCAAACAGGCAGTGTTTCACTCTGTTGTATATAGAGTCACTATAGATAGGAACCAACTTGATGGCACCTAACACCAACAACAACCACTCTTATTGCCTATAAAATGATATAAAGCCCAACTATTTGCTTGTGCCTTTTTCCTTTGCTATGTCGTTTAGTCTCAGTAGTTCTTGTGAGCATAAAAATTACTATACAGTGTTAAAATCAAAAACCAAACCCACTGCCATCCAGTTGTTTCTGACTCATAGCTACCCTATAGGACAGAGCCAAACTGCCCCATAGGGTTTCCAACGCTATAAATCTTTACAGAAGCAGACTGCTTCATCTTTCTCCCTTGGAGTAGCTGCTTGTTTCAAACAGCCAACCTATGGGTTAGTAGGTGTATGCTTTAACCACAGTGTCACCAGAGCTCCTGTTACACAATAGATCTTTTAAATTTTTATAGATAAAAGAGTGATAAATTTAGCATCTTCATTCTATTTAAAAAAATTTTTCCCCTTTGTTTTTAGATTTTATTCATCACATTAATGACACAGACTCTGTGCTGAGTACCAATGATAGCAACCCTGGTAAGTCATTTGTAATTAAAAGTTTAGTTTGTTTCTTTATTCCCCAGTTTGTTCCCAAAGGGTTTAAGACAGAACCTATGACTTTATTTTAGAGAAATGATTAGCAGAAGCTCTATATCATTATGCTGAGCCACTGCTGAATTGTTGGCAATCAGTGTGTTTAAAACAAGCCAACAAAACCTCCAGTCAGTTAGGCTGGAAATATTTAATTTACGTTATACAACTCACAATTTTAGCTCACAGTAATAGTATCCATATTTGCCTGTGAACAAGCAACAAACATTTTTATGAATGTATATTACTGCTAATCATATTGGGTGATGATTATTTTCTCTTTAGAAGCCTAATTTTCTGTTGTTAACTTAGTTTTATTTATTATTTTAGTCATTAATATATAGAATATACAAATGTCATCTGTAACTTATAGAATAATTTCCTAATAATGAGCAAAGGTTAGTGAGTATGGAAAAAATAAATTGAATCTGTAGGAAAAAAAAAAATCTTAATTTCTTAGAAAAGTTTCCTTTAATTAGTTTATTTATTAAAATAAATCCTTGAGGCCTTTGGTTTAACCCAGTATGACAGTCAAAGGGCAAGTGAATATAAAAAGAATGAAGAGTGGGAGGGAGAGGGAAAGGAGGAGAGTTTAATGCTTAGGTGACAATGAGCTTCTGTTAAAGATGATGGTATCATTTGGGAATGGATAAGGATGATGGTTGAACAGCATAATGAACATAATTAATACCACTGAACTGTACATGTGAAGATAGTTGAAATGTCAAATGTTTTATTACATATATATTTACCACAATAAAAAATCACGCACACAAAAAGCTGATGTAACATTGTTAACAGTTAATACTGCTAACCTTGAATATTACCTAAAGCTTTCATGTATTTAGGTTTCAGGAATTAAATTGATGCCATTTTTCTGGAGGTATACATTGATCACTAAGAGGACAATTCATTCAGCAAATACTTATTAAGCTTAATATGTGTCAGGAACTATTCTAGGCTCTAGGGACACAATAATGAATGAACAGACAAAAGTCCTCATAGAGCATACATTCCATTGTTTCCTATTCAGTCTATCCTTTGCTCTGTAGTCATACCTGATTAGCCTGATGTACATACACACATACACAAACATCCATTTACCTTTGAATAATTATACTAAAACTTCTATGCCTTATCCATTATGTCCTGCTACTCATATGTCAGTTTGTTGTACCGTGTTGGCTTGTGTGTTGCTGTGAGGCTGGAGACTATGCCACCAGTATTTCAAATACCAACAGAGTCACCTATTGTGGACAGGTTTCAGTAGAGCTTCCAGACTAAGAGAGACTCAAAAAAAGGAAGGGGCTATCAGTTCTCAAAAAAATTTGCCAGTGAAAACCTTATGAATAGCAGTGAAACACTGTCTGATACATTACCAGAGAACTTTATGAATAGCCCTGAAACATTGTCCAAGATAGTGCCAGAAGATGAGCCTCTTGGGTCAGAAGGCACTCAGAATATGACTATGGACAAAGTGACTCCTCAGAGTAGAGTCGACCTTAATGATGTGGATGGAGTAAAGCTTTCAGGACCTGGATTTGCTGGTGGCCCAACTCACAATGGGAAGAAACTGCTGCAAGCATCCATTAATAATACAACATGGAATATACAAAGTATGAATCTAGGAAAATTGGAAGTTGTCAAAAATGAAATGGAACTGTAAAGATATCCTAGGCATTAGTGAGCTGAAATGGATTGGTTTGGGCCATTTTGAATCAGAAAACCATATAATCTACTATGCCAGGGATGACATATTGAAGAGGAATGACATGGTATCCATTGTCACAATGAAAGTTTCAAGATCTGTCCTGAAGTACAATGCTATAAGTGATAGGCTAATATCCATATGTCTACAAGGAATACCAGTTAATACTAATATTATTCAAATTTACACACCAACCACCAAAGCCAAAGATAAGGAAATTGAAGATTTTTACCAACTTCTGTATTCTGAAATTGATCAAACATGCAATCAAAATATGTTGATTATTACTGGTGATTGGAATATAAAAGTTGGAAACAAAGAAGAATCACTTGTAGTTGGAAAATGTGGCCTTGATGATAGAAATGATGCTGGAGATAACATGATAGAATTTTGCAAGACCAGCAACTTATTCATTGCAAATACCTTTTTTCAACAACACAAATGGTGACTATACACATGGACTTCACCGGATTGAGTACACAGGAATCAGATTGACTCCATCTGTGGAAAGAGGCAATGGAAAAAATCAGTATCTTCAGCTAAAACAAGGCAAAGAGCTGACTATGAAACAGACCATCAACTGCTCATGTGCAAGTCCAAGTTGAAGCTGAAGACAAGAGAAGTCTATAAAAGCCAAAATATGACCTTGATTATATCTCGCCTGATTTAGAGACCATCTAAAGAATAGATTTGATCCATTGAACACCAATTGACCCGGCCCGCAGGTCAATCAACGGAGACCCTGAGGGAGGGAGTGAGGAAGATGGGACAGAAGACACGAGAAATGGAGACAAGACAGGAGTTCTGATCAAGTCTCAACTTTATTAAATTCAGAACAAAGCATATATACTAGAAGTGACGTTTATCAAAGGGCAGTTACCTAAGGCAGTGCTGGATGCCAGCAATTGGTGCAGAAAATATGTTTAAAGGTATTAAGTAGCTGATAGGTATAAAGAAGCCCGTGCACGCGAATTAGGCAACAACTGATTGGTAGGCAGCTAACAAAGAAAGCTCTAACTGATTGGTCAGGTAAAGAAGGCATTTCTAAGGAGTACTGGAAAGTTTATACAAACACTATTTAAAAGGTCAAGGTATGGTTAGTATGGAGAAATAGAAAGGACATAAGTAAGAGCCTTTTGTTTTATTAAAGATCGCTGTCTCTGAGAAGCATCTTCACAAGACCAGATTCCTGGCTCTCCACAACCAATAACTGAAAACCAGAGGAATTGTGGGATGACATCAAGAACATCATCCATGAAGAAAGCAAGAGGTCATTAAAAAAGACAGGAAAGGAAGAAAAGACCAAAACAAATGTCAGAAGAAATTCTGAAACTTGCTGTTGAACAGAAACTGGCTAATGACAATGGAAGAAATTACAAGAGAAAAGAGCTGAACAGAAGATTTTAAAGAGCAGCTCAAGAAGACAAAATAAAGTATTTAATGAAAAATGCAAAGACCTGGAGTTTGAAAACCAAAAGGAAGAACATGCTCAGCATTCCTCAAAGCTGAAAGAACTGTAGAAAAAATTCAAGCCTCAAGTTGCAATATTGAAAGATAGATCGGGCAATCTACTTCTGTAGAAATACTCCCTCGGAAACCCAAGGAGGGGTCACTATGAGTCGTAATCGACTCAATGGCAGTGAGTTTGGTTTTCTTTTGGTATGGACAATATATTGAATGATTCAGGGAACATCAAAAGAAGATGGGAGGAATACACAGAGTCACTATACCAAAAAGTATTGGTTGATTTTCATCCATTTCAGCAGGTAAAGAACCAGTGATATTGAAGGAAGAAGTCAAAGCTGCACTGAAGGAATTGGTGAAAAACTAGGCTTCAGGAATTGACAGATTACCCATTTTATTGAAAATGGATGCTGTGCTGGAGGCACTCTCGTCTATGTCAAGAAATTTGGAAGACAGCTATGTGGCCAAATGACTGAAAGAGATCCATATTTTTACCCATTCCAAAGAAAAGTGATCCCACAGAATGTGGAAATTATTGAACAATATCATTAATATTTACACACAAGTAAAATCTTGCTGAAGATAATTCAAAAATGGTTGCAGCAGTATACTGACAGAGAACTTCCAGAACTGCAAGCTGGGTTCAGAAGAGGACTTGGAATGAGGGATATCATTGCTGATGTCAGATCTTGACTGAAAGCAAAGAATACCAGAAAGATGTTTACTTGTGTTTTATTGACTTTGCAAAAGCATTCAATTGTGTGGATCATAACAAATTATGGATAACATTGAGAAGAATGGGAATTTCAGAACACTTGATTGTACTCTTGAGGACCCTGCACATAGACCAGGAAGCTGTCATTCAAACAGAACAGGGGGATACTGCATGGTTTAAAATCAAGAAGGGAGTGCATCAGAGAGTGCGTATCCTTTCATCATACTTTTTCAATCTATATGCTGAGCAAATAATCCAAGAAGCTGTACTGCATGAAGAAGAATGTGACATCAGGATTGGAGGAAGACTCATTATCAACCTGTGATATGCATATGACACAACTTTGCTTGCTGAAAGTGAAGATGACTTAAAGCACTTACTGATGAAGATTAAAGACTACAATTTGGAGTATGGATTACATCTCAACATAAAGAAACCGAGAATCCTCACAACTGGACCAATAAGCAGCATCATAGTAAATGGAGAAAAGATTGACGTTCTCAAAGATTTCATATTACTTGAATCCAACAACCAACACCAATGAAAGCAGCAGTCAAGAAATCAGACAAGGTATTGTACTGGGCAAATCTACTGCCAAAAACCTCTTTAAAGTGCTGAAAAGTAAAGATATCTCTTTGAAGACTAAGGTGTGCCTAACCAAAGCCATGCTATTTTCAATCGCCTCATATGCATGTGAAAGCTGGATAACAAATAAGGAAACCTGAAGAAGAGTCGATGCTTTTGAGTTGTGGTGTTGGCGAAGAATATGGCTGGTGCCATGGACTGCCAGAAGAACTAACAAATCTGTCCTGGAAGAAGTGCAGCCGGAATGCTCCTTGGAAACGAAAATGGCTAGACTTCATCTCATCTACTTTGGTCGTGTTGTCAGAAGGAACCATTTCCTGGAGAAGGATATCATGCTTGGTAAAGTGGAGGGTCAACGGAAAAGGGGAAGGCCCTCAACTAGATGGATTGACATAGTAGTTGCTAGGCTGGGCTCAGGTATAGCAAGGATTGTGAGACTGGCACAGGACCAGGCAGTGTTTTGTTCTGTTGCACATAGGGTCATTGTGAGTCAAAGCCAACTTGACAGCACTAACAATAACAACATCCCTAACTTCAGAAGTTTCAAAAGATCAAATTATATCCTTAACTTAAAAGAGAAAATTATCCAATGCAAACTGATAAAAAGTAGTTTATTAATATCTAATAGTTTTATTTCTTCACCAAAAGGGAGTCAGTTCTTCATTAACTTCATGAATATACAGTCACACAATTACATTTGAAAAGCACAATCATCAAAGTCCATTGACTTTGCACACAAAGATATTTTATCACACTCCTTGTTATAATTGACAACAGTACTTCATGATTCTTCCTCTAATGTTTATTGTGAACAGTGTGGTAAATAATGGAATTGTTAGATAAACTATCTCAATTAAGATAAAGAATTACAACTAAAATTTACCAAACACTTAATGTGCACACATTGTTCTAAATGTTTTACAGCAACCCTATAAGGTAGATACTATCATCCCTGCTTTCTGAATGAAGAAATAAAGACAGAGACATCACATAACTAAGTGAAAGCGTTGGGATTCATTATTCAGTCAAGTTACCTCCATTACCTGTGTTCTTAACCACAATGTTTATTAACACAGGAAAAACAAGTTAATTTACTTCTCTCCAGAGTGTAAAAGAAAAGAGCACATGTTAAAATGCTGACTAAGAGAAAACGAAAAAGAAAGTTAAATGCTTAGGTTTGTGGCATAGTAATGGATAGAGAAGAAAGTTGAAAAAAGAACTTGAAATGAATATATTACTTTCCCTTTGACAGATTATGAATACGAGTGACTTTGTTTACTTAGTATGAGTATTTTTCACTCGTATTAAGAGTTTTTGTTTTTTCACAAAGCACTGATTATTAGCATAGTTTTATTAAGAAATTAGAAACACAGTGAGAATGGTTTGTATACTATCTAATAGCAGAAATTGTCCCTTGCAAATCAGTGTTAGGAAAAATACATTTTGCTGACTTTCTGGTTTTCTATTATCACCCAGATTCTTAGGCTGTTATCAAGTGTCAAACTGCCAGAACTGTGGATTACTGGATTTCCTGGTTTATAAACTAATCACTGCTTAGGTTAGGGATTATTGTAGTAGCTGTTTCAGTGATATCTACTTTTTATTTCAAACCTACAGTTTTTATTTAGAAATCTATGAAACTTTGTGAAAACTACTCTTTGGTTTTTATAGGAATACAACAAACAGTTGTGATGAGTGGTGTTTTCGTATGTTGAGTAAGACCAGATACCATCCAGTCTGGTATTTTCTCTCTGGCGATGGAACTGATGGACATTTACTGTGATATATTTGTAGTAGAAGTTAGGGACATACTTGAAAAATTTTTTAAGATTCCCTAATTTTTAATTATTTGTTTACAGATAAAAGATTCCTAAGGAGCTCTGGTATCATAGTGCCTAAGGCACTTGACTGCTAACCAGAAGGCTAGCGGTTCAAACCCACCAGCCACTCCTCGGAAGGAAGGTTGGGCAATCCTACTTCCGTAGTGACACTGCCTCGAAAACCCACGGAGGGGTCGCTATGAGTCAGGGCTGACTCGACGGCAAATAACAACAACAACAACAACATGTCTAAGGAATACCTTCTTTTTCCAAGAAAGGAAAAATTTAGTGCTCATCAAGCGTCAATCTCTGAGGGCAGTTTTTTTCTATTTTTCATGATCTTCTCTAATCTGGTGCTTTCCTGTTACAGTGATTTGTCCAAGTTCCAGGAGCGGTGGCCATCCTGACAATAGCTCTGTGATAATTTTCTATGCCAACGACACAGGAGTCCAACAGTTTGAAAAGTGGTGGAATAAATCTAGGACAGTGCCCTTTTACCTCATAGGGCTCCTCCTGCCATTGCTCAACTTCAAATCACCTTCGTTTTTTTCAAAGTTTAATATCCTAGGTAAGCCAAGGCACTGTGTTATGGAACCTCGGTGTAGTCAAATACATAATGGACTCTGTGGAAAAATAATCTGACTGCTGAGAGAATTACTTTCCAGACCAGTTCATCTATGTTTGATTTCTTCAGTCATATGTTACCTTGTTTTGGTTTTCTTTATGGAATTTAGCACTGAGAAAATGTAGTTGACCATTTCAAGTCTTTTCTTTTTTTTTTTTTTTGAGACATGAGTTAACAGTTTCCCACTGTATACTACCAAGCAACTCTTTCTCATTTCTGATGTGGGAAGACTAGAAGATATGGACTACATTTTCAGTCCAAATTAGATAGTAGTGAACTCTAAGCATTAGAAATATTAAAAGTTTTTGAGGAACGTTATAGAATATTTTTTCCTTCAGTGTATATTTAAGAGTATCACAGAATTATCATCTAACTTTCAATCTGGGAGATTATTCTCTGGTTCAAGTTCCTTAGGTTTATTCTGCTTATTTTCCTTTCCTGAGTGCTTTCTCTTTCTTGGAACAGTATTACCTCCTTAAAGGAATAGACCTTTGTGTAAGCACTGTTTTTCATAGTTAACTTAAGGAATGTTTTGATCCCATCTTCTTTTATAACACTGAGCCTTAAGATGGTAGAAGCAACCCCCATGAGTTCTGATGAAAGCTCATATCTGGTTGTCTTAAGGATATCACTCAGAAGTAATTGATAAAAACCCATATAGACCATAGGACTTCAGCTTCGCCCCATAGATCTGATCTCCTGATAGGCAGGCTAGAGTAAAAAATAAGATTATCTGTAACATCAGAGAAACAGGAGGTGCCTTTTGGGTTTGTAAAAAACCAAAGGAGGAGGTAAGGATATGACTCTATCTCTATGCCTCAAAACAGAACTCACTATAGGACCGCCTTAGACACACAGAAAATGAAGAGTTGTGGTTATGTAAGCTACGGCCTTTTGCTTTCATCCTTTCTGAAGCACCTATCTCCAGACCACAGTAGGGCATATGTAGTACATTTGTAGTTTACTGATTTGCTTGCTGACTTTCCTATGGAACAAATCTTTTAAAAGTTAGCATATAAACTTACAGAAAGATTTGCTCAAGTGAGCAAAGCAGTCATCAAACTTTTAACAGGTTGGTAATTCTCCAGCTCCTGCAAGATATTCTGCTTTGGCCAATGTACTTTCCATTTCTTTTAAATCTCTAGCTTCTTTAGAGGAATTAGCATCTAGCAGGCTTGCTGAGTTTTCTCACTCTACTCCACAATGACTGGACTTAATCCCTTACAGGGAATAATCTAACTTCTAGACCACTAAAAATTTGTGAATGCCTATTTTACTCTATCTGTGATACCTGGGACTGGAATCTGGAATCTTTGCATCTAACAAGTTGTACTACGCAATCAAACTCTCCTCTAGGCACTGGAGCAGATTGTTCATTGATTATTTGGTTTATCAGCTTTCTCAAATGTGTTTATGATCTCCATTCATTACTTTTCTCTCTGTACTTTCTGTGTGAGAAATAGTACACTAATAATAAATTAGTATTGTGACAATCTTTTCCCGCCTATTTTCTACCTCTAATACTTCAAACACAAAGTAAGTTTCATATTTTTTCATGTAACCTTACAATTTCGTAATGGTCTCTGCTTGTATCCTCCATTAAACTCATCTTAAAGTAAACTGAGTGGTTTTACATTCAGCAATGTATGAGCTACCTTCATCTAGTTCATCTTAGGTCTATCACGTAGCTTTGGGGGGCTTCTTTGTGATGTTTTCTGATAACTCACTTAGATTGTTTCCTAGAGAGTAAGCTATGCTTTAGATCCCAGCTGGGTTTTAGTGGAATAATCATGGACTCAGAAGATAATTTTCCATACTCTGCTAAGAATGTTGAAACTAAACTTGATTTTCAAAAATCTGAGAAACACATGAAGATAATAAACCATTTCTGAATTTTTTCTCACAGGCACTGTATCTGTTCTCTACTTGATTTTCCTTGTCACCTTGAAGGCTGTTCGTTTGGGATTCCATTTGGAATTTCATTGGTTTACGCCTACAGAATTTTTTGTACCAGGTGAGCTGCTGTACCTAAATAAATAGTAAATTGCAATGTGATTTTTAAGCTAACCATTCTTACATGCTATTCTAAAATAAGTAAATTTTTTATGCTGATCATTTTTATTAATGCTCTTAAGCTTAATTCAGGATAGCAGTAGAGATTACTTTGGTTTTCTTGAAGTTAGAGGTAAACAGGACCCTTTGTCATTTCAGCTTGAGAATGGAAGTTACGTTTCAATTAGAAAATCAAGAACTCATTCTCTAGATTTTTTCTGAAGAGATATACCCCTAGGATTTCAGACTTAAACCTGGTCAGTGATTAATGTATGCAAATAATAACTGCTCATTAATATAATTATTGCCCTTACAGGCTATTCTGTTTTTCAGGCTAATTTGTTATTGTTGTTGTTATGTGCTATCGAGTCAGACCCGACTCATAGCGACCCCTCCTTGGGTTTCCAAGGCAGTATCACTACGGAAGTAGATTGCCCCATGTTCCTTCCGAGGAGTGGCTGGTGCGTTTGAACCGCCAGCCTTCTGGTTAGCAGTCAAGTGCCTTAGCCACTATGCTACCAGAGCTCCTCAGGCTAATTTAGATGATGATTATTAAATGTTTTCTTCCTTCCCTCTCTCCTGCCCTTTTTTTTCATGGTTATAATTTGGCAGCTTCTTCAGTATCACCCAGATTTAAGAGTGTATTGAACATGATCAAAGCACTGTGAAACAGTGAAAAGTAATGCTAAATGAGGAGACATTAGGAAAATGGAGGTGACTTTTACCCTAGTTAGGAGCTCTGGTGGCACAGCGCCCAAGTCACTTGACTGCCAACCAGAAGGTTGGCAATTCAAACCTACCAGCTGCTCTGTGGAAGAGAGATGGGGCAATCTACTTTCATAAAGATTTACCACCTTGGAAACCCAATGGGAGTCTCTGTGAGTCAGAATCAACTTGATGGCAGTGGGTTCGGTTTATTTTTGGTTTCACTCTCTAAAGGCACCCTGGTGGCACAGTCGTTAAGTGCTTGGCTGCTAACTGAAAGATTGGTGGTTTGAACCCACCAGAGGCTTGGAGGGAGAAAGATGAGGTAGTCTGCTTCCATACAGAGTACAGCCTTGAAAACCCTATGGGGCAGTTCTACTCTGTCCTATAGGATAGATATGAGTGGGAATCTATTCCAGAGACTCAGTTTGGTTTTGGTTTGGTTACTCTCTAAAGTCTATACAGGTTCCCCCACTATCCAAAAGAACATGCCTATGAAAATTTCCATAAGCTGAAATGGCATAAAGCAAAGAAGCAGTTACCATTAATTTATATGGGAAAACCTCCTGAACATTCCTAGACCCAAAAAGTAACCTACGATATCATACCAAATGACATACAACCTCTAATAACACTAACATACAGTGTTCACAGACACAGTTCAAAGCTATGACAAAGCCATGACAGCTTATGCTGAAGTGCTGAGTGTAAGTCCTGAGCGAAGGATCTTGGCAGTGCCACCCTTGCTGCCAGGGTTGCATGCTGCTTCTAACTAAACTAACAGCTCACTGTAAGACAAACAGTGAACACTAGTTTCACTGTTTGCCTTTTATCTGAAAAGTAAAAATCCTCTTGAGATTACTTTCATTAGTACAGGTACATAATGTAGGTCTTTCATAAAGAAGTGGCATAAACTGAACTTTTGAGAAGTAAGGGATACCTATATCTGTAGTTGTTTACCAGTCTTTTTGTTTCTTTTGTTGTAATATACCTGGGTTTTCCAAGTTTATTGAGTTGATGGTCGTTGGAAGTTGTCATTTATGTTAATGTAAAAAATTTACATTAATTTTGAGTCTTTGTGGGCTTCTGATTCAAACAGAAGCCCACAAAGACTCAAAATTAATGTAAATTTAGGATAAAGTGCAGGGGCTTGAAAAGCACACTTCTTTCCCAGATTGTATTTAAAACTGGACACGGATAAAAATGCCAACTTCAAGCTAGTCCTTCCATTGATGGATAAAAATAGTCTATGATATTATTTTCTAAAGTTAGGTCTATTGTGCTTTATATAAAGTATGCTAAAAGTTGCTGCTAATAATAGGACATTAGAGAATAGACATAAGGGACAGGACAGGATAAATAGCTATTTAGAAGACAGGAAAAAAATCTATTTAAATAGATATGAAGCCATTTATTTCACTTTATTTCATTTCTAAGTAATTTGAAAAGCGACTCATAAGGACTTAAAGAGCCTTGTGTTAATTTTATGATGCTGAAAACAATTCTATATTATGATTGAAGAATTTCTCAGGAAATGAAAATATACCATGAATCTTCTTCTCAAGGCTAATTAAGAATCAGAAAACTTTGGAGGGTGTGAGTCTTTACTATCCTGATGAAAAAATCACATAAACATATAGTTCAAATTGAGTCTTCATTTGTGCACTCTTGTTTCTAAACATTTCTTTATGATGCCATAGCTTTCATCAACCTTTTCCTCAGGTAATAATTTTCCCAGGAAAAATAATGAGGTTGCACCTGTTTATTCATTTCATTCCATCCTTTCTTGCCCACTCAAGAACTTTACTCTTATGGTTATCTCTTCTTTCTCATTAATCATGTATCATCAAATTTTTCCTCTACAGAATTATTCCTTCTAGTTATATAAACCTATCTCCCAATGTGAAAAACAAGAACTCATACGACCCCACATCCACTGTAGCTGTTGCCTTTTTCTTTGCTTCCCTACAGAAAAAATCTTAGATAGAATTTTCTATGCTCATTGTCTCCACTTCTTCCATTTGCTTTGAACTCACTTCTTTCAGGCTTTTGCTCTGGTCACTCCACTGGAACTCATCTTAGTGAGACAACCAATGACTTGTCTTGCCAAATCCAATGACCAGTGCTCACAACTCTTACTCTGCCTGTCAGCAGCATGGGGCACATTTGGTTATTCCTTCCATCTTAAAACAATTTCCTTACTTGGTTTCTAAAACCTTACTCTCTCTTTATTCTACTTAACTGGCTATGCCTTCTAATGTTCCTCATGGAATTCATCCAAGGTTTACTACTCAAACCTCTTTTCTCTTTACCCCTATTCCTTTGTAATTTCATCTAGACACTTGATTTTATATGTTGTTATATGGTGATTAGCCTTAATTTTATATCTTTGGCCTACATCTGTCCACTAAAATCTATAATCATATAACCCTTCTACAACTCTACTTGGATGTCTACTAGATATCTCAAACTTAACTTTAAAAAAAAAACTAAAAACTAAATATGTGTTTCTTTGCCCACCTGCTTAACCTCCTCTCCTTCCAGGCTTCTCTATCTCACAAAATAGTAGCTTTAATTTTCCAGTTGCTCAGGCCAAAAACTTTGGTGTCATCCTTGATTGTTTTCTTTCTGCAACCCCCACCTACAGTCTACCTGCAAATCATGTCAGCTCTACTTTCACAATAAATTGAGAATCTGACTACTTCTTAGCATTCCACCAATAAGAACTATATCAAACCACTAATCTGTCACCTAGATTATTGTAATAGCCTCCTAACTAGTCTCACTGTTTCCTCCCTGTCTCACCCCCTGCTATAGTTTGTTCTTTACCTAGCAGCTAGAGTGAGGTTTTTAAAACATAACTTGCAAAAGGTTTTCCTTCCTCATTCAAAATAAAGCCAAGACTTTACTATACTCCACAGGGCCTCATATGCTCTGGCTCATGGCTGCCTCTCTGAGGTCATCTCCTGCTACTTTCCCTGTCTCAGGAGGCTATTAGACCTTGCTTGAAAACAGGATTCACGATGGAACTTCTAAAGTCAGATACGAAAAAAAGAAAAGTTGAGGTCACTGGTGCTGTAGTTTAATTTATTCACTCTCTCTGAATCAGCATAATATCGAGAAAAGCAATGATGATGAAAACACAATCAGAACCTTGGGGATATACCCAAAGCACTGCTTAGATAGTAACTGAAACTTGGGCGATAAGTGATCTAGTGTACAAACTCTGTCTCACTGCCTGCTTTCTCAGACTACTTCCAGTACCAGCTGTGCCAATCAACAGACATCAAAATGGAGTTAGTAGTTGTAGTTGTTGTTGTTGTTAGGTGCTGTTGAGATGGTTTCAACTCATAGAAGTACAACCCTACGTGCAACAGAACGAAGCATGCCTGGCACTGGGCCGTCCTCACAACTGTTTCCATGCTTGAGCCC